TTTGGTTACTGTGCCGGTTTTTGTTCTTGTTTTCATACCATATCTAGAACACGTGTCACGTGTTCGTGTTTGTACTTCCCGTTGATTTTTTCCCCCTTGTTGCAGGAAGTTTCACTTTATATTACAAAGCTTCCTGCATTATAAAAGACCATCAGATTCGTTCTAGAACGTTTAACCCCTAACCACTGTTGTCAAAATAATGTCGCATTTTCACCATAGTGAGGTTTAAGAAACAGCTGACATAAATAACATGCAAATTGAATTTTTTATTGATACAATCAGTCTGATAATTTAGTTATTACATAATTATGCATTAAGGATGTAGCGAGCATAAAAATATGGATTGCGGGTTAAAATGGGGTGTGATAAATTCCTTTTTAATACGAAGTGTCTAGCAAGTAGGAAAGCAGAGTGGTCAACGAGATCATATTTACAGTGATTAGGAATTAAGAATTCGTAACACCATATTTCTCAGTCTTAGTTTCGCAACACGCTAAAAAGCATTTTAAATAATACTTTTTGTAGAAGGTTGAATTAAATCAATAAAACCTGTCATGACTCGCGGATTAAACAGCTGAGAATTCTATAACACAGTATAAAATCCAGATATGTTTTAAACGGATCATGGCAATTTTTACTTCGTTGCTAATAATTCTGGAGTAAGCTCCATGTACTGTCCTGATTATTTGGATGCATTCGTATATAGAAATCCTGTTTTGACATACTTTACTTTTATTTCTGAAAATAATGCTTTTTGTAATTAAGCGTTTGCTGCTGAAAAATTTCGTAACCCAATGAAAATTGGTCATTAATTGCAAATGGTTCTTATGCATATATCGGTTGTTCATTATACATTTGTTCCGAAGTAGAAAATGATAGTAAGATGGTTACAAGGAAGATGTAGTCGTGATAGGTCAACGCAGTTAATTATTATGACACAGCAGTTGCAACGTATCCGTGCAAGGGACGAGTCTGTTATTTCATGATTACAAGTGCGCGTTCACATATCCATACTGTAATAGCTGGTGATTAACAGAAGCAGCATACCAGAATTAGAAAAAACGATGGCGGGCAGACTACAAGTTAAACGGAGGCTAGCGAAAGTAAAGATTTAGAGTGTTAATTTAATTTAGAGTGTTAAGCATGAAAAGTCCTAAAAGTCTCTACAACGTGGGGTAAGCGTATACATATTTGATGACGGAAATTTACCCTCGTATGGAAGCAAGGGATTAACAGTATAAAACTGAACAATATGGTAACTGAAGGTATTTGTCCTCCGTTATTGTTTGGAAGGCACTTATTGGCATTTCGCAAGACAAACATAGCCAGAAATACATAATTTATTTATTTTTTAATATACTTTACACGGTAAAATTTTCCATCAATGCACTGAAGGAGGACGACTTTTAAATCAATTTGAATAAATAAAGAGAAGGGTGTTTAGAATACAAGAAACAGTTAGAGGAAATAAGAACAGGTACTCGGTATAAATATATGAGTAGCTTGTCATTGGAATCTTACAGCAAAAAAGTCAGAACTGTTGAAAGCTCAATCTTTTTATCAACACTAGCATTGATTATAATGAAACAATAAAACAGTAATAATAAAACAATGAATAACAAAACTTTTCTAGTTCAAGTTCTGTTATTTACGCCACAGCGATTCTTCAGTAATTGAGAAAATGAACATCAAAAACACCTAAGGCTCTGACGTGTCCCGTCATCTTTTTATTTATTTATCTTCTACTCGCAGTATTCTTTAATTTTAAACTTTTCTCGCGGTTTTTCCTCTTTTATTCAGGCCAGAAGTAAGATTTGTTTATCAGAATGAGCTTAAAATAATTATCTTTCGCTTCTGAATTTTTATTTCAGTTATGTATTTTTAGATATTTTTGTTTTAGTTGTAGCTCTAAATTAAAATGTCATTGTAATACTCATCCTACATGCGAAAAGAAAAATCAAAAGAACAGTAAAAGACCGTTTTAATGTAAAAATATTCCGTAACTTTTTTCCCATCTTCTTATTTTTCGTTATACATAACATTTTCTTTAAAGGTAAAAACATTTTATTGTGCAGTATTACATTCTTATTTTCTAATATTTTAATACAGGAGACGAAATACGGCTAAACATAGTTATGTCAGGTTATATTTTATGCATTTTGTAAACTTTAACGAAATATATTTGACTAAACATAAGACCGAATTTTTGGCTGTGATAAAACGCGAACCAAACAAAACCAACCGCTCTCTAGCTGTTATTCAAATTATGCTGCTTTTATTGCTGTCACATGATGCCTCATTGCTAACGCTTAAATAATCGCTAAGTAAGCCAGACGTAACTGTGTTTGTTTTGCAAAACGCGTTAAAGATGAATAGTCTCAGAAAGGTTTGATTAAATATATAAATAATGGAAAGTGTTATGTCGGGATGTAAACGCGTTTTTTTGGGTATGCTATCTAATTATACTATGACGGTAATAATTCGCAAAATTCAATTTTAGCACTGATTTCGTATAAAAAGATTCGTTTTAGACACCAAAAACCCTATGAAAATTATCTTTGATTTAAAGAATTAGTTCTTCAGTATTAAAATAGGCCAGTTATAACCGTGAAGCACTCGAGGGTTACTTTAGGAGAACGTCTTTGTGAAGGATTTTCTAAAAGTAATTGATGCGTAGTTACGTCACATAAAGGGTAAACCAATCGCAAAGAAGTAAAGTTAATTGCAGTTTCCTTAAAGTATTTTTCGAAAAGTACTTTAAATTACTTCGAAATACTTTTATGGCAGAAGAGTACACCTTATTCAGCAAATAAGCAAGCATGCTTTAAATTTTATCCTTTAAATTTTATTCAAGACAGTTTAAGCTCATTTACCGAGAGAAAAAAAAATCAGATTACTTGTGAAAAGTACAATCTCTCAAGATGGAGAACATTTCATTTTTTCCCTGCTTGAAAAAATTTGGCCTGACTTGGCCAGTGAAATTATCTGTTTTTGTGAAGTCTAGACTGCTGCTCTCTGTTTTTGTTCGTTTCATTTATGAATGCAATACCTATTTAATATTTTAGTTAACTTACTTTTGTAGGTCCCGTATTGTACATTTATAGTGCACGGGAAGACTCAATGTGTTAAATATAAAAAAAAAGGTAAGAAACAATTTCTCCTTGAAATTCTTCCTTTTGTGGATAGTATTTGAGTTGCTTTTCCATAATTACCTTACCATCAATCACCTATTTGAAACTTCGAGTGTTTCATGCTCAAACAGTTTAATACGTTGTCTGAGTTTTAATTATAGGTGAATGTTGATGTACTTGTTTAATCAGTCACTAAATAAGAAAACACACAAAGATTTGTGGAATAGATGGCGACTTTCTAACGGAAACTGGCTCTCATTTCTGTTATACAAAGTACAGGTGAAAATTAGTTTTATATAAAATTTGTTTTTAAAAAAGGTCTTTTATTTTTTCATGTTTAAAATAATTTATCTCTTAACTGATAAGGCCATCATCTTTCATGTTGAAAAAAATTATGCCAGTGAACCACAAAATATGGGAGCTAAAGATGTCGGCGTACTTCGCAGGACTAAAACCACATAAACTTTTGAGTCCTAAACAACTTATGTTATCGATATTTTTAATCGGTAACATAATCTTATCCATAATGCTAACAGTAGATTAACACATATGTATATTATATAGTATAGTAACACATATGTGTTACTATATTAACACATATGTGTTAATATATATATATATATATATCATATGTGTCGCCCACTGTCAGCTGACGAGCAAACTTTCAGTTCGAAAAGACTGACCTAGCTACACTCAGAGACTGATTAAGAGGAAAACTTTATTAGGGTCGTAACTAGTTCTACACCGACACAAAAATTTTAAAAAAAAAAAATGTTATTATATAAATTATAATACTCCAGTTAGCTAAAAAAGCACTAAATAAAAACATTATTTATGTTGTTGGAAATACTGGCTATCCGAATCACTATTGTTCATTTTCCTTTCTTTTGTGTGATCACTGTGAATATTGTAAGGAAATCTATTTGAATTCTACCTTAAATGCAACCGTTTATATTCTACTTATTTCAAATAACAGGCAATCTATCTTCTTTAAAACCTCATGAGTCGTTCTGTTCCTCGGCGCATAGGTAGGTCACCAGAAGACTTTTACACCCCTCGCATAATTTTCAGGGTGCATTGGGGGGGGGGAAATGAATCTAAGTGCTGTTCTTTTTTTTCAAATTAATATGAACACTACTATGGAAGGTATTATTATGACTTATACTGCAGGTACTAGTCACCGATTTTAAGTTTTGGCTGTTAATTCTTATTGCATTTTCTCATAGTATTTGTGTATTGTAGACAATGCAGTCATTTTAGAAATACCTTCCATACGCACCAGAGGCTTAAATAAAACTTTAGTTTTACTAGAAGATTCTAAACTTGAAACCTACCAGAAACTGTAAAAATTCTGAAAAATTACGTTAGTTCAGCTGGCTAACTGCAGTTTTGCAATATTGATTAATGTCCGTGCAATATTGTTAGTACTTTGCATTTTATTATTATTTTACTGCGTTATCTGCTCACAGTACTGTTGTAAACTTTTAAGTCTATTTGACTGCATTTTCTGGCTTTTGTGTATTATTATAATGTTATATATTGTTTTTATATATTTGTTTGCAGTTTACCGATATCATTCCCAGCCACAGAAGGTTGGCTGTGAGTGACATAGGTAATCTGGAATATTTCTCGTATGTTGAGGAGAGCTTGCCTTATCTGTGCGTTTTCCTTGAGCTATTCACAGATGATTAATTTGGTAGAAGTTATTATTTGTTTGAATAAAATGTCGAATGAAGAGATCCACGATTCTGTTAACTCGCAACAATATCTTTGTATTCTTTCCTATAAAGCATACTCATATTATGTTCCATGAGGCGACTGCAGTTCCTGTAAAAAACTATGGAGGAGAAAAATAAGTACAATATTTACCTGAGTTGATGGCACGTTTTCAACAGTAGAAGGTTCTTCAGCACCATAGCTTGACATGACTGTTCTAGACTGTTGCTTCCTAGGAAGAACAATGCTTGAATTTAATATTTTTTAAAGTAAAACATTAACAAAATACATCAAATTTAAATTTTGTATCTTAGACTGTCATAAAATTTCCTTACATCCACGAATGCTCATGCGTTTGCAATCAGCCAGTACGATATTTAGTAATATTATGTTCAATAAACCCTCCCAACGCTAACAATATATCTCAAAATTACGCAAAAAACAATAAATATTACTCTAAACGTAAAGCGTTCTTCACTGGTTTTTTAGTATGTTTCATAACAGAGATTAAAACTTTTCATCTTATTTGAGTTATTTTATTCAGTTGCTACAACATTATTTAATACTAAATATATTTCAGTTTCTGCAGTAAAGCTATCAAATACTTTACGTGAAAGTATAAAATGTTCCCTTTCCCTCTACATGATACCCTAATCGCATGAGACGTGATTAACTAACATTGCAAAGACCATACGTTAACGTGACATTTTAAATCTTAAATACATCTTATAATGGAAAAGAATAGAAACATACAAAATATAATTTAGAAATTTATCTAAGGCAGTTCAGAAATTATTTATTGTCTTCTAAATATTTAACATCCTAATTCATGAAGTTTCAGGAACACAGATGGTGCTTAAAATTGAAAATATATATAATAAATTTGGAACTTCGGAGAAACAGTATCTGTACTGGATTTCATAGATCGGTGAACTTCAACTTTTAGTTGAAGATCTATTCAAATAAAGAATTAAAATAAAAGGATTTTGAAATAAAAAATTTCGAAATCACAGCATTATAATCATTAAAATCAAGGTGTTTCCACAGTTTATTCTAGCCACGTATTTTTTATTTCATAGAAATTATTTTAGCAAATAATGTGTTGAAATAATTCCCACATTAAAATAATTGTTATTTGTATTAAGAGAAGCGTAATATTACCTTTTATTCACACGAGAGTGTACGATTAAATATGTCTAGAGACAGCTGCTACAGACATTTTGAGAAAATGATCTTATGATCCCATTTTTCTTTACCTCAGACGTAATTTTTAAATTTCATTAGATTCAAAAGCTGTTTGAAATGAAACTGTGAACGGAATTTTTCTATTCAATAGTTGAAAACATACCAAAACTGATTTTAAGAAAAATTAAAGATTCAAATTATTTCGAAGAATGCGTTTGCTCTGTCGCCCGTTTAACATAACACTAAGCTACACACTCTTAATTTGATCAATGTTTAAACGTCCTTATTCCATTTTATTGTACTTGCAGCATCACAGCACGCTTGCCCCTGTGCAGAACTAATCAAATTAATTTCCTGCATTAAAAAATTTTATTTAATACTGTAAGTAAATTATTAAATTGGTATAAATGAGAACGACCGCATTATTTATGTATAATTTACTTGGATAAACACATCGCGTTGAGTTATTAGCTGCATATTTTTTATAAATGGTTTTGATTAATGGTATCTTTGAATTTTTTAAGCCTTTAAATTATATTAAAAATATTTTTGAATTCAGATTTCTAAAACATTCATGATTTTATTCATATTATTTACACACACACACACACACACACACATATATATATATGCATACATAATATGAATATATATATTTGCAAAGAAGAGGAATGTTTAAAAGCTATTGCTAAAAAGTACATTTGACACTGTTGAATATATATATATTATATGCATAAATAATATGATAGCGTCCTTTTAAAATATTTTGTGCGTTAAAATTTCTTAATTTTTCTCCCCTTTTTGATTTTGAAGTTATCTCTATTTGTAATTTTTACATTTACTTTTTATGCGATTGTTTTTACTACTTAAGTATTGTTTGTTGTTGTTACATGATTTCACATTTTTGCTAAGGAACTATAGTGTCAAATGTATTTTTTAGCATTAGCTTTTAAACATTCCTCTTCCTTAAAAAAAATTTTAAAAATTTTGCAGCTCAATGCGCAAAATTCTTGACCACTAAGGTCTCTCTAATTCATGATGTCTACTTTTTTATTATATATGAAAATGTAAGTGTGAAACTATAATGTCAGCTATTACATATAATTATCAGTATTTTTCATTAAAAAAAGAAAAAGAAACTTCGAATCAAAAATTTTAAAAAAATCTTAATTTTATTCAAATTACTTTAATTTATATGAAACCGAAACTACTCAATATTACTGTTATTTGCATGGCCGGAAATTTAGTAACTGGCGAAACTAATACCTAACTGCTGTACATAAATACATTTTTCCTTCTGACAAACAGCGACAACAGAAGTTTAAAATACGTTGCTTTGAATAAGTTTTCTGTTTTGATACTCCTAGAACTCTCAGGGATTCTGCATGAGAAGTGGTCAACTTCTGTACATAAGGATGAATACCTTGAGTATATTGGCGTCGTTGGGGCTTCACAATGTATTTTGCCAAGTGGCTGCACATATTGTATAGTTGCGCAATATGTTTAGCAAAATATATTGTACAACGTGCGTATAAACATATTGTATATGAACATATTCTTTCTGAAAAAGAGTCAAAATCTGTATAAATGCGTCAGAAAGTTCACAGACAATAACGGAATGAATATTTTAAAACTACTGTAGATTTGGAAGAGAATAACAAAAATACGTGTGTTCGAATTGTTTAGTATATTTTCCATTTTTTAGTATGTGACATGTTTTGTATCCTTGTGTAAAAACCGTGTTTACCAGAAAAGAAAATTTCTTTTTTATGCACGTGTAATATATTTATCGAAATGTATTGTTATGATGATAACGCTGTCTACACTTTTTTTCAAGATAAAAAAATATTAGAAATGTGAAAGGGCACTTAACTGTGAATTTATTAAAAAATATTTTAGTACTTATTGATGCAGTTTTAAGAATCTATATATGAGAACACTTACTTAAGCAAGCAAACAAGCATGCACACACATATAATTAAAGATAAATGAAAATTTTTATACAGAGTATATTAACTTTTCCAAACTTTAAGTATGTTTCTAATGAAAGCTCCTCTTTGACAAACAATTGCTCACCAACGCTCCGGTGGATAAGACACCGGAACTTTTCCAGTTTGTTTTGGATTTGGTCCCTGACAAATTGGTTGATCCTTTTCCTATGCGTACCTTGAATAAGGCTTAGTTTCTGTAGAAAGTTCTCCATGAAAACATTCATAGCATTCTTTTCTGCAATCATTAACCATATAGTTTTTCTGTCAGTAACTGTACGTTGAATTTTTTTCTGTACAATTTCTTCGCAAAATAGTAATAAAGTATGTTAAAAAGTTTCTTTCCCTGTTAATGTGTAGTGACTCAAAGCGTAATACAGATTATTTTTTCTGGGACTAGCATATTTTTCGGTATTATTCTATCAACTTACATTAACCTTCTCTCTATTTATAATTTATTTTATTGATGAACTAAGGTAAAAAAACTACAGTAAACAAGGACTGCGAATAATCAGAAACGTCACTTTCTGATTATCCGCACCCCGGTTTCAACGTGTAGAAATGTCGTGCTTTTGGCATATTTTGAAGTATATCAACTACAATAGCCAGCCCACGTAAGCATGTCAACCTACGTGTTAAGTGGTTGTGTGATATATTTAGCCATCATTACAGTAAGTGTGGTACATTTAGCCATCATTAAAATATCTACCTGCTATCAAAATATAAATATTGGTGACATAAAGTCTACTTTTTTCTCATTACTTTCCTTTTTATTTTATAAAATGGTAATCTTTATTATTTATGAATAGAATAGTACTTATGCCCCGTGAAAATAGCCACCAAACAAATGTTTTTCACGAAGTCACAAATGAGTTGTCGGGGGTAATCAGAAAGTTATATACTTAGCAAATACTTAATAGCATAGGGCAGCGAACCGGTGGTACGCGTACCCCCGGTTGAAACTACTGGTGGTACGCAAGGCAAAAATAGGTGGTACGCAAAGGAACAAAATATTTATAACTATTCAAAAATTAAATACCGCAACATCCTGTTTAAGTTTTTTCTCTAACACTCGTAATTTATGCGGTCTGAGCTTTGTTCAAGGTCAATAGCCACTCAGAGATTTTAGCAAAATAATCCGTTTTTATTTTTACAAATATTCTTATAGCCATACACGTAACAAAATTTGTCATTAATGAGGCTTTTAAAAAGAGTAATAGAAATGAATATTGTATTTAATAGGAAATAAAAATAAGTCCCTATAAAAAGATAATAGTATCCCATTAATTCTTTTAAAGTGTATCGATTTTTATTAGCATGTATACACTTTACCGTCCCCACCATTTCCGGGCTCATATTGCTCTATTTCCAATTAGAATTATATTTTTACGCCGATTTGCTGTATCTAACAGCAGGTATTTTGTCTTCTTTTTGCTTTGTCTTCCTTACTTTTTCACGCTATTTGAGAATATCGTCGTTTGTTTTTGAAGAACTCATAATATATTGTGCATTTAAATATTTGTAAAAAAATAACAAAACGGACCTAGATTTTCAGGAAAAATTGCTAGGATTAATTAAGTGGAAAAATGATGATTCACAGGTGATGGATCCAGGACAATCTACTAGTACTAAAAATATAGAAAAGAAAAATAGTTTATAGAAAATATAATGAAAATTATTAATCAATTTGGGTTTACTTGGAATGGAGATGAAATGGACCTTCAGACTCAATATGTTGTTTGCTGTGAAGTATTATCCAATCAAAGTATGAAACCCTCGTTTCATAAAAGACATTTGTACTCTAAGCATGCCAATTCAAAGGATAAATCTGAACAATATTTTAAAAGGAAATTATCGGCGTTAAAAAATAGTAAACAAGTAATGAAAGATTTTGTTACTTCAAGTGGTAAAGCTTTGGAAGCTAGTCACCTGGTAAGCCTAAGAAGTGTCAGGGACTGGACAGGCTGATGCTATTAGAGATAACCTTATATTACCAGCAGCTAAAGATATTGTTTTAACATTATTCAACCAAAAAGCGGCTAATGAACTTATTAATATT